AAGACAAAATGTGGCAGGGAGTTAAACTCGAAATACCCTGTGCTTCAAACACACATAACCTAGATTTTAAAAGCAGATAGGTGTCGGTTAATTCATCTTGAAAATGAGGATGAAGATTTTGGCTTCCAGAGAATACAGGCGTCCATTGATACATTGTAGGTAGTTTGTCATCTGCTTCGTTCCGCTGCTGTACATGTCAGTGCGTGCACAGGTGGCTTCCCAGAAATACCATTTTGTTGTCCTAAATGAATATGCCAAGTGGTAGGATTTAGAATGCTCCCACATGGTATTATTTTATTGCCATAAAACTTAATAATAGTAAAAAAGGTTGTTCTCTTTAAACAAGCAGCTAGTACAGTATTGTTTTGTTCAACTGCAATACCGAGTGGTTGCTGTTACTTCAACCTTAAAACCAGCAGTACTTACAAAGATGCAGCTTGGGCAATAAAATGTCAGGGAAGTCCTCTGATTAAAATCTAGTTTCTAACAGAAGGATGAAAAGAGAATGTTCTTAGTTGATCATCACAATTTTTTGCCCAGTGCCTGTAATAAAAACATACTTCTGTAATAACTGTTGCAACCTGAGTGCCTTTCCGTACGCATTAAATTAACCCGTATGCGTCGCCCATCCCCGCCGTGATGAGCGCGCAGTGTCCGTGCCGGGTTCTGTGGCTGGAGAGCGCTCTGGCAGGGTGGTTCTGCCTGAGTTGCAGTCGAGGAGAAGCTGGGGGCGTTTTCCTACATATCAAGATTTATGATTCATGCTTGGAAAAGATGTTGTTTTTATGAGATGTGAAGGATATTTAGGTAATGACTTGCTGAGTTTTGGCTTGCGTGTGCCGGCAGTGATGACCCCTCGCGTGCCTTCTGGAATCACGTCAAGCCACCTGGTGACATGAAGCCTTTTCTTGGAAGGCTCTCGATAACGTAAACCTCTCTGTAGATTGTCGAGGCATTTAGTGCGATGTATGAGAATGAACGAGGACACACTTGTTTTCCTTGCTCTTTAAATTCCTAGAAGGAAAGGATTTGCTGCAGTTCCATTGAAGTCCTTACTGTGGCTCAGAAGCTGCCTTTCCTATTTGTCTAGGAGACTGGCAGCCCTTTGCAGTGAGGGAATCCTCCTGTGTAAACAGTGTGTGTGGAGGGGTTGGTTTGCTGTGCATGACAAGGAATGCACGTGAACCTTCTTTTGAGGTGAGAGTCTGGGTGTTGCAGCTTTAGGCTAGTCCGGTGTGAGCAGTTTGCGGTTGGGCTGTATGTCAGGTTCTGAATTGGCTGCGGAAGACGATGGGACTCCTCTCGTGCTTGATGCTTTGTCCGTACAAGGGTTGCTTCAGCCATGTGACAATGTTGTATACTGAAAAAATGTAAATATCAAATGCCATGTATAGATCTGTCTGCCCAGTTTTGCTGTGATTAAAATCTGAGGCAAAATTCTCATTGATTTTTCTGTAGGAAGAAAATCAACTCCTGCCTACCTACTGAGTTGTTTTCTGTTTGTTTCTACAGCTTGCTTGTCCCAGTTGTCTGCTGAGCAGGTATTTTATTCAGCAGGGAAGTTTTGCTGCAGCAGTGTGTTTGTGTGGGGTTTTTTCCCTAGTATTTCTTGGAACAAGCTACATCTTTCTCTAAAAAAACAAAACAAAAAATTATCTGGTCAGTGTAATTATTAAGTGTTATCAGGAAGGAGTCTAGTCGGAATATCTTCGCCATAAAAAGATGATACTGGTAGCAACGTGCTGTTAGAATTGCTCTTAAGATTGCGTGGCAACGGTGTTAAACAGATATTCCTGAAATGTTGTGCTGGTGTAGGGGGCAGGGGATGGTAAAGCCCTTTTTTTCAGCGAGGAGGACTAAAAGACAGTGTGTGGTAGAACTGGCATGGGACTCTAGAGAGCAGAATTCAGGTTCTTACTGTGGAGGGTGACCTTGGGCAAGACTCACGGGTTTGAGCCGAAACCCATGAGCGTTGTAAGCTGCTCGGACACTACACTGGTGGTAGCCATGTAGGTACCCAGCTGGGAACCTGCTGGAGTCAAGAGGTGTCTGAACAAATGTTCTGACTGCTGCTCTGTATTTCTGTTTATCCAGAGATCAGCTTCCACAAGAAGAATTTTTTTTAATTTTTTGGGGGGGCGGGGTGGGAGGGGGTTACTTATTAATCCCTAATGTCTGTAGGAGTCCTGCCTTTTGGTTTTTTTCATTCTTTTTGAGAGATTTGCTCTTCAGCATCGCTGAAGTAACTGGAAGCTCCACCAGCTCTCTGAGCAGATAATACTGTAGAAATGTTTGAGAGTTTTCGTCATGGCAAATATGACCGCGATGTCAAAGCCAACAGCCGGCCAAATACCCCCATTTGTTGTGATCAGGCTGAAAGCTCTTTCTGTCGCAGACAGTGCAGTCAGAAGAACAAATTATTTCTTTAGTCAGAAGTTGAAGATTCTAGGTTGTTCACCCTAAATCGAAGGATTTTAATGGTTCAATGTGAGATGTGATCTGAGCGTGCCTGAAGTTGTATTCATGAGGCAAATATTGCAATAAACACAGAAAACAGATAGAAAGTGGAACATACAGGGAAGATGCGTTACTTTAAAAATAAACCCATGTTTGAATGGCAGACTTAGGTCTGAGAGATACCCTGAGCCAAGCTTGAGGAGTTTCTGGGGTGCTTTCGATCAGATTTTACTTCCCGAGTACCTTGAGCTGAGGTGTCGGTTTTGGATCTTTGTTTCCCATAAATGTGGAGCTAAAAGTCTGAAACAAAATTTCCTGACTTGTGCTAACACCTGAAAGGAGATCTGGTTGCAGCGTCTGTTGGCAAGCTTTTGGGAGAAGAAAATAAAATGAAAAGAGCAGAAATCTGTTCTCTGGGTTTGTTGGTAGATGTTTGTCATAGTAGCCATCGGTCCCACTGTCTGAGGAAGCTGGTGGAGACATGGCTACTCTTAGGATTAGTTATCTTGCAGGTCTCTGTTCACCAGCAGCCTCAGGTGTAGTGTAACTTGCTAGATTTGGTAAGTTCATGTCAAGTGATTTTATTCCTGGTAATGTGATAGCTTTTCTGAAAAATGTTTTGCCTGTTAAGGTTCCGTGAGCTTAGCTGAGAGTTAATTGTGGTTGCCTGTCCGGTGCAGAAGCCTCAGATCCCAGATTAAGGGATGCCAAGGACAACCGCTGAGTGTTTTGTCCACTTGAAATTGGCTCTTTTGCTTGCTCAGTTGCAAAGGAATTTTCCCGTTCCTTGCCCAGCTCAATCTCAGATGGAGAATGCAATTAATTCACATTCCTGAAGGGCCATTAGATTTTGCTGTGAGCTTCACATGTGCACTGGAGTATCTAGAAGTCCCATAAAACAAGACCAGGATGACACCTTGCCCTCTAAGAATCCACCTCTTGGATAACAGAAAGTAACCCATAGATCAATTTTCCCGTATAAGTAGTAATTTCAACTTGCAATTTTAGGTGGTGTGTTGGAGCATTCTGAAAAATCTGAATGCCCATTTTAGAAGTCTTTTTTTTTTTTTTTTCCCCAGTGATTTGCTACTTCTCTGGTTTTAATATTTCGCATTCACCCTGGCATACTAATGTAATGGAGAGAGGGAACCTGGGGTATTGCTAGTACGTTCACATGCACTGCTGCAGGCTTTGTGTGTGACCATGGGTAATATTTGTCCTGTCTCCACTCTAATTTCATAGCTACAGTAGAGGAATAATAGCTCTTCCATGGTTCAGATGGGTAAGTCTTATATAGATCTTTACTACAGGACACCTTTATTCAGCTTTATTTTGTATACGAGGTGCTCTAGGTCTCTTTTGCAGTTGCTGACTCCCTTCCCTGTGCTCCAGCTTGCCTCGTACCAGTGTGTTCGCACGAGGCTGTGTTTGCCTGGGCCCCAAAGAGCCAGGCTGATCTCTGCAGAGCTGCTTGTTGGAGAGTGAGAGCCCAAGGTCAGCGTTGCTTCTAGCATGGCCCCTTGCCTGGCAAGGGGGCCGTTGTGCTGGAAGGCTCTGAAACACCTCGGTGCAAATACCACACTAAAAGGTGATGTTAGTAGCCAGCCTGTCTGCTTTGGGCTATCTGTGGTAGCCCCGATAGTGCTTCACAGGGTCCTTCTTGCACCTGCTTGGTAGGAGAGAGTGCTGCAAAGCAGTGCAAGACTTGGGATTGATGTTCTTCCAGTGAAGCCATGAGTCCAATTGAACTGAGTAATACTGTTGAGCTTTATATGTTTAATCAAGATTTTTTTGGTGTGACTGTTCTGGAGCCTAAGACGTACCTTTCTCAGGAAAGCGTGCAAGTCGGAGAGCCCTGCCCGTCATACGAGTGTGCACAAGTTGAAAATCTCAGATGAGCCCAATGGCCAGTAATTGCCTTTCTGTAACACCGCCTTCCTCTGTTAAGACGGTGCAACAAAAAGCCCAGTATAAGGATGACCAATGTAAAAAGAAACTGCAACTTTTTATTTCACTCTGTAGTCCTGCTGCTTCTGTGGAGGACTGTCCCAATTAACTGCTTTAGCTTGTTCTGTCTCCCTCGGGTGGGTGCGGAGGAGCTGGTGCAGGCTTGGCTCTGTGATGGCCATCGTGCTTTCTCCGTGCAAAGGCAGGTGAAAGGGGGGCGTGGAATGGAAACGCTCAAAATGAAGGGTGTGAGAAAAGGTATTGGGTTTAAAGCACTTTAAATGAACAGGTCGTTCAGCTCTTTGTATCAGCACTTCCGTACCTGTTTGGCCTTTGCTTGAAGTCATTTCCAGAATCGTGTTGTAAGCAGCTGAACGTGTGTGGGTCCGGGCTAGAAGCTGAGGACAGCAGAGGGAAACAAGTGTCTGCAGAGCGGGGAAGGAGCGTCGTCGGTACGATGGCAGTGTCATGGCGGAGATGCTACTCCACATCGGCTGGTTTCTCACTGCGGGGTTCTCTGACCTCTCTGGTGTCTGCTCCAGCGTGGTGGGGTGGCAAAGCTGCTTCTGCTCACCTGCATGTGCCTGGTGCGCAGAGACAGCCCTGCTCTGCGAGGGCTGCCGTCTTCTATTTGCCTTGTGGCGTAGATGCTTGCAGCCTTTATGTTGCACCCCTGACAGTTGGAAACCTGATTTAATTTAGGAATAGTCTCAGTTTTCCTTCGAGTTTTTCAGAGCTGGAGCTTGAGGACGGGAGTCGCGAAGCTGTGGGAGATGGCAGCGTGGCAGATGTGGAGCCCGGTGCCCAAAGGCTGCTCCGTCCCCAAGGCGCAGCCTGCGGCCGCGCCGACTTTTGGCAATCACCGTTTTGATTAGCGAGATTGTGGTGGCATTTTTCACCAACCTTTCTGGTCAGGTCCCTCCTCTGTAGGCTTGACGAGAGCTTTGTTCCGTTGAGCAACTTGCATGCGCCGTTTTGCACATGCACAGATGCTCCTCACGAAGCCTTTCTGGTGAGCAAGACGGAGGCTGTGCCGGGAACCATTCGTGCTCAAACCTGTGAGCTGTTGCTTTAAAAGGGAAAAAAAAAAAAAAAAAAAAAAAAAATTACAAAAAAAATCCTTTGTGGGCTGTGGAGAGAAAGTGCTAGAACTGTGCAGGATCATGACTGGAAAGCAGGATCCCCGAGTGGTCACGGAGGCTCTCCTGGTCCTCGCCAGCCTGCCGTGGTTCTAGCCGGGATGCTCGTCCTCCACGGCAGATAGCGAACGGGAGACAAAGAAACCCGATCGAGGACAGACCACTCGGCGAGGGGAATGAGGCAAAATGTTGCTCTGGTGTTAGGAGGAAACAGCAGCTGCTTTGCTAGACATGGAAATCACGTTTGCACCAGGATTGCTGGGTTGCAGTGCTTGAACCCGACCTTTCCGAGGAGTCCGATCGCTCCGCATCGCTTTAGGCTTTAGAGTCTTTTTTT